GGATTTGTTGAGTCAATTTCCATTGATAAGAGTGGGCCTACTCTAACTGCAACAAATCTTAGCATAGTAAGAGTAGGCCTGAATCAGTGGAACTTATGGGAGAATTGACTCACTAAATCCTCCTTGATTCAATTGGCTTATTCTAGTGTGATTTGCCACATTAAGCAACAGGATTGTAGCTAATATCTTCCTCTTAAAGCTTCTGAATGAGAAATCACCATCTGGTCTGTTGAGGCCCTGACAGGAGTTTCAAAAGTAGTTTGTATAATAATTGGTTACTTTAGATTTTTTGCAACCGAGTCCATTATACTTTTTTATATCCTTCTAACTGTAACATTTATTTTAAAATTACATTGTACATTTTTTAGCATTTATATAGAGGTTCCCTGCTTCTTTCATCAGTTCTAAATATCATGGAAAGAAGGAGGAAAGTGACTTCTTTTAAAACTTCTAACACTGCAATCCTATACATTTCAGTCTAAAAGTAAGGCCCGCTTAATTAAACAGCATTTAGTAGTAGGTGACTGTGTTTAACAAGGCTGAGAAATGCAGTCTGTGGCCTATTTTCAAAATCCCTCTGCAAATCAAGAGTACAGAATCCTGGTAAGAGTGATTGGTAAACCCCCAGGAGCCAGCTGTGAAGGAAGGGGAAAAGATGGAGATAAAATAGAAAAAGAGAGATCCACTGTGACTCTGGATTTATTTACCCTTCAGGCTTCTGTCCATTGCTGGCAGGCAGCCTTGAACAGATTACCTAAAGCAACAATACAACCTCCAACAGGTTATATTGTAATTTTCTCTTCCCCTGGTGTACAGGATTCTAACTTTAGAACATGGCTACTCAGCAATAATGATGTTGATGGCAAACATAAATTTCAGTTATGTTTCTATTTAATATTGTTTCTTTCAGTCAAATAAAACAATGTCCTTATTGTTCAACCAATTATATTGTTACAAGACTTTGAAAGATAGCAGATAGATGCGGATAAATACAGGCAGGTAAACATAAATAAAGGAATTCTTCTACTTCACTACATACCATTATTATTTGCAAAACGTTGAATTTCTTCCAAGGACGTAAGCTGCTCTTGCGGACAGCCTGATACACACAACGCAACTGAATCAATTTTAAGATTTTTTATTTCCAGCCCGCATGAATTCAGAAAAAACACAAATCTAAGGCAGAAAGAAATTCCATTTTTATACACAATTCAATTTCACTTTGTCTTCCTGATCGTCTGTTTTTCCCATGAAATACTGAAACTCTAATTTTTTTAAAAAATATTATTATCTTTTATGCTAACTGCTGCACCAAAACAGTATTTTTTTTCCTCAACAAAATACAATAAAATTGGCTACAGAGTAACTTTCATGGCCAAGAATTTCAGTGGTGCATTTGAATGTTAATAACTGTTAACTGCAATTATTGCTTTAGGTTTATTCCTATACATTTTTCTTAACATATAATTAACAGCATCCAATTAAATTAGACCCAGTGGAGTGGACTGCAGCAGGTTAGCCAGGTCAATATGAGGTCCAGTATGGCAGGAGTCCCTAACCCTGGTTCACGGCCCGTTGCCGGTCCATGGTCATGGCAGGACTTGGCCGCGGAAACAGATCTCCCCTGCACACTCCCCCATGCACCACACACACACACACACATGGCCTGCCCCCTGCAAGAACAGGTGCCCTGCCCACCCGCAAGCATACCCCACCCATCCACAAGCATGCCTCCATCTGTGCATGCACCTGAGCATGCATGCCCATCTACGCATGGGCACGAGCATGCCCTGACCCCCCCATGCATGGACCTCAGACCCCCCCACCCAGTCCGCATTTTAGAAAAGGTTGGGGACCACTGCAGTATGTTATGCCATTTGATGCGATCTTTGCATCCAGATGCCATACACATCTCAAATGATCTTATTTGGTCTGCTGCAGCCTTTGCTAATATCATGAAATAGCTTTTAAGACAGCCACTTCAGGATTTTGGCAAATTAATCATTTCCTCAGCTCCACTGAGGGGCGAAGAAGTGAAAAACAATTTGTTAAGTGTGCATTTGACAGTGAATATTTGCTGCAACACTTAAAATGGAAAGCTTCTTTGTTTGCTTTGCTTTTCTAGGTACAGTAGATAGCTTGTCCAGAAAGGAACAGGTAGGGACACTCTGGGGATGATTTGGTTCACTCTAGCAATTACGTTGCATGATTGTGTGAACCAACCCATCCCTGCAGCAATTCAAATATCAGGATCTGATTAAGCCCTGCCTCAAAGGGATTTACGTATTTGTTGACAATTCAGCAATTGATTCAACAGCTCTGCTTTCTTGCTGAAACTACCAAATGCAATAGGATATTGGCCAATACGTGTTAAGATACAGCTATATGCATTTCTGGTGGGAAAATGTTGTTTTCTACAGACACTGACAATACTGAAGCCTTTGAAAATAACACCATACTCACTTTTTGTTTCTCATGTCTTGGCCTGACAAAGGTGCACCTAACACTGGAGTATTTTTCCGCCCACATATGTTTCCATAGCTGTCATATCCAAAGACAAGTCTTTCTGCAGCTCCAGCCGTTACAGCATAGCCTGTTATAAACATCTATGAGGACACATATATTTGTCTTTCTTCTTGGAATTCACAGATTTGTCACACTATATTATACCTTCTAGTTACCCAGTGTAATGTTTGCTATAATACAAAATGATGACTAGAAGCCTTCTAGTGAATGTTATGGTTTTTCTGCTTCATGCTTACATTTGTACAAACATGCATAGGTGCTTTCACCATGATTTGTTCAAAGTGGCACATACATAGAAAACTGCTATAGAACTATTTGTGATTTATTTAGTGCTACAAAACCAAACAACGCTGTCCACATTCTCATGAGAAACAAATCTGGTGTCTAATCACAAGACAGCTCTAAGTTAATCCTCTTACTTCCCACTATATCTCAGGGCACATCTGGTTTAAAGGTGTATAAAGTTCTGAGAATAGCCTATGCAGTCAGGTGACTGAGTCCCTGACCAGAAGTAAAAAAGGAAACCGATGTCTACATACTGGCAACTGATTCTTTCCCAGTCATATCTGGGACTCAGTATGGCTTTATTTATAAACACTGTTTGGTATTATACACATGAACCTGCTTTCTCATCCTTTGGCACAATTTTAAAGAGGAGACTGGAAGCATTTTGTTTTCAGTAAACTGCAGTTTCTTACAAAGAGCAAACAGGAAGGACAGTTTTAAATATGGTTCATCCAAACATGCCAGGATTGCAAATCATATTGTTGAGACAAACCATTGTTACAACAAATAACAGTTTGTCCTGTTTTTCGCAAGTCACAGTTAAGTTACAAACGAAAGCAGATTTCAGTCGCCATAGCTGTACCAGAGAAGGCAGAAAGCACACAAGTCCAAGGTTCACAGACAAAATACTAAATTATAATTTAATTCTATGTTGAGCACAATCAATATCCATAGTTGTCAGTGTTCTCAGCCAAAATGCAGCTGCACACAAGTCAATGTATCCTGAAGATCCTTCATGCAGCTGAGTGCTGGATGTAGCCTGGGTGAAAATCCAAGCTGGCGACTGAACTTTAAACAAAAGGAATTTTGTATAAAAAGTTTTTTTGGCTGGCAATATAAGGTAGCCTCTGTCTCCTGATATTAAACATGAAACATCTAAAGGATTCTCACAGACCACAGTCTTCCCACCCTGCAATATCAGGATATGAGACTATTTTCTGGGAAAATTTTAAGGAATATCTGTAATGCCACACCAGCACTTGACTGTCAGTGCTGTCAAGGCTCATCTGCCTAAACCTCTTAATAACTTATAGTAAATATGTTGGGGGTGAGAAATACAGTTGGCACAATGTGTACCCTGAAGTTAAAAAGCTTCCCTCTCTGTGTAATATACATATAGACATTTCAGGAAGGAGGAAAGAGAAAGAATACCATTTGTCCTTTCTGCTACTCTTCCCCCTAAACCTCTCAGCCTGACACTGAACAATAGAATATTTGTGTTCACAGCTGGGAACTAAAATCCTTTAGCATGATATATGATAGTAGACACAGAGTTCCAAAAGATATAAATAAAAAAGAGCTGTTCATTTCCCCCCTGCATCTTATCTCTCACTTAAGAAAAACAGCAAATGCAACAAATACTTGTACATCAAATACAGAAATACATTCACTTGTAAAAGAAAAGAATAAAGCCAAACCGTCCAACGTAGACCGAGAAACGCTGGCAGTGTCCATTGAAGTGGAACCCTGCCAAACACACTGGCCTGCTTGAGCCCAAAACTCTACACTACTATACCTTCTTGCAAAATAAACATAGGCCACAATCCTACTGGCAACTTACACGTGCACAAGTGAAATCACATAGGCCACGGAACAAATTGCCACAAGGTGGGCATGCAACCAAAACTACCACTGGCCATTGCATCAATTAGTGGCTATTCAACATTTCAACTTATGTGATTTCACTTTACACACATGTAAACCACCAACAGGATTCTGGCCATGACACATTTACAAAACCAAGGTAAAACATGGTGATAAAAAAATTTGTGAAACTGTACTACCACAGTGGTCTGTACGCTCCAAATTAGAACTCGCACACTGATAAAGCAAGATTTCTGTCAGATTGCTAGCAATTTCAAACATTTTGTTGCTCCTTTCCAGATAGTTGTATAAGGCAGCCTACTTACCAAACCTGACCAAAAGAAAAAGAATATAATTAACCAAAGGGGGTCTGTGCACTTCCTAGACATCAGTGGTTGCCACTTTCTTGGTTCAGGTAGCCCATCTTCAGAAACCTAGTATTTACAAAAAAAACACACACACACATAAAAAAACTTGTCTTTTGAATATATTAAATAGTTAGAAATTTAGTTAGACTGTGTATTTTACTATATGTTAACCACAATTGACCTAAATTTTATCTACAGATAGTACACCTGCATCATTGTATTAAAACAAATGTATGAAATCTAGAAAAATATCCCACGGCATTAACAAGTGTTATCAGGCATACTTTTTTGGTGACCATAGCCTATTTCCAATACAATCATAAGTTTATTTGGTATAAGAAAACTTAACACCAAATAAAACTCATGAGTCTTTAAGGTGTCAATAAGGCTCTTTATTGTTTTTGCTGTTACAAAGACAGAAAGCTACCTCCTATGAAAACTGGAAACAACCAATTGGCTACATAAATATTCAAGAGAAAAGGGACAGGTCCATGGATCAGCCTGTATGGGTCAAATGTTTTGTTTAACCAAACTAAGTTACCACAACTCAGATGACTTAGAGTAAAAAAGAAAAGTCATAGGCCATGTAGGGATGTGGTGGCGCTGCAGGTTAAACCGCAGAAGCCTCTGTGCTGCAAGGTCAGAAGACCTGCAGTCGTAAGATCGCATCAACGCGATGGAGTGAGGCCCCGTCGCTTGCCCCAGCTCCTGCCAACCTAGCAGTTCGAAAGCATGCAAAAATGCAAAAATGCAGGTAGATAAATAGGTACCACCACGGTGGAAAGGTAACTGGCGTTCCATGTCTAGTCACGTTGGCCACGGAAACGGAGATGAGGACCCTTGCCTAGAGTCGGACACGACTGGACTACCTTTATTTTGTATCTGCCTACTCCCAATGTATCAGCTCTGGTCTTCCCTTTTACAGCTACTTCTCAGTCTTGTGTGCTGACACACCCAGCATGAAAAGTTGTCTATATTTGCATTGGCACAGAATCCACACAGTCTTGTTCAAAGCATTTATTTACTGGGTTATACCTAACAATGTAAAACATGGATGTAAAATTTGCATGCATTTAACCTCTGAAGTTTCCTCTCCCGGTGCAATGTGTGAGAAAGCATGTATGTTATGTAAGTATTCCAGCTTAATACTTTTGAGTTTCCACTATTCTAGGTCGACTGAAATGTTTCAAGTTGGAATACTTAGTGATTATTATGTATTCTTGTCCACATCAGACACAGATCTCATTCAGAGACAGATGAAAATACTGTACGTGAATGAACTGAGTCATGTAATATTTCTTACACCGGCATGTTTTTTACATGTGTCCTGATAACACTGAAAAGTAGGAGTGTCAAAAAACGGACTTCCCACTTGTACACAACTTCAAACCAGCAACTTTCTTGCCGCATGTTTCTTCAATACAGGTAGCTGAACCAAAAACAAAAAAACAATCCCAAGACAGTTCCCTGTGGGGCGAAACTGAGCTTGTTTTCAGTCACATTACAGCAGTTAAGTCATGTTGTCCTGACTTACCCTAGCCTTACTGGTCCCTTTCCAATGACACACAGTAATTCACAATTCTGTGACATAAGACTATGGGAAGAAGACAACTTTTATTTCACTCTCTCAGAAAAGTTGGAAATGCCCACAGGTCGAGCTCTGAAGGGAACTCTCACTTCCAGGCCGGCCCCCTGCCTCGCTCCTGGAGACCTTGACTCCTCTCGTCTCCTTGCGCTCCTCTTAATGTGCGCCCTTGATGGAGGAGCCAGGAGACCCGAGGGAAGAGCGCGGAAGGAAGCCCACTGGCCCAGGGAGAGAGAGGTTATGCACCTGTCTGCCTCCACCCGCACCCCCACCCCGGCGCCTAATGCCTCCTGGGTGACTTTTGAGGGAGAAAGTTTCGTTTTCGGGCCAAAAGGGGGAGCTTCCCGCCGGCCCCGTGGGGAGCGGAGAGGCGCAGCCTGGGGTGGGGGTTGGCAACGGCGCCCTCGCCTCGCCTCAGCCGAAACCGGCTGGTGGCCTCCGCTCCAGCCTTCCCTGCTCTTCAGTCGTTTCCACAGGGATGCCGCCCGCCCTCCAGGCTCGCCTTCAAGCTCGCCGGCCCCCGCCCGGGTGTCCCGTTGTGTGGTCTCTCACCCAGTACTCGCCGCTGTAGCACGCCATGCTGCTCCGATCCAGCCTCCGCCTTCCCCTCCAGGGCAGCTTGGGCGGCTCCGTCCGGCTTTGCCAGCCCGGGGAAGGAGACGGCGAAGGCCGGGCCGCCCCGAAGCGGGGAGGAGGACGAGCCAACCACCCACCTCGTTAGTTAGTTACCTACCCGCCGCCTCGCCCGCCCTCTTGCGCTCCGGTGTCCTGAAGCAGGAGCAGCCGCAGCAGCAGCGCCGCCCTGTTCAGCGACTCCCTCCCTTCACCTTTCAAGCCTTGTTGCGGGGGTGGGGGGGCACTTTTATGGACCAGGATTGGTCTCCTGACTCCAGTTTTAGGTACTGGAAATGCAACATAGGCGAGCGTGTACATCGCCAGTAATCACAGCCGACCTCTCAGTGGAGGCCAGCCAATAACCCATCCAACTTCATCCATTTTGCATCCTATTTTGTCCACCTGCACGCTATTTGGGCACCAGTGCCAGGTAAATTGTGCCATGGCGGACAAGCAGAAGCATTCCTACTGCCCGGGCGATCGGGGCACAGTTCACCAGCCAACAGGGAGGTACTGTTGCAGAGTTTTCGAATATTTGGTTAAATTCCTCTAGCTGGGCAGAAGTGCAGGGATTCACAGAGCAGAATAGCTGCAAGTTCTCCAGAGCAGACCACTCCTTTTTCTCTTTTTAACTAGCACATACAATAACTCAGTTGCTTACTCTTGAGACCTTAACAGGGGAAAGAATAAAAGGTTTCATTACGTATAACTGAACAGATCACACAGCAAACTGACAAACAAAACTGCTTTCTACAACAGACCTCAACAGACTCAAGAGACAGGGAAAGAGACAAAGAGTACAGAGGTGGGGCTCTCTTTGAAGGAAGGACAAGTTAGTGCTGGATAGCAGTCACCCCAGCCCAACCTACAAAAGGCAGCAGGCAAGGTTGCAAAAACTCCCAAAAGGTAGAAGGTGTACTTTGCAAAGGAAGAGCTTGGGTTGCTGACTAGAGGTAATGGAGTCTCCATCTGATGACCCCACCAGCCCCAGGGGAAAATCAGTCACTACTGGGGACTACAATGTGGTGGAGGGCCAGGTGACTAGCTTTCTTTTGAATTGGTTGGTTGTTGCAGGTTTTTCGGGCTGGTTGGCCATGTTCTGTTTGGCCAGAAAACAGGCAAACAGCCCGAAAAGCTTACAACAACTATTGGATCCTGGCCGTGAAAGCCTTCGAGAATACATTTCTCTTGAATTGTTTTTGGAACTACCATGAACCTAACACTCAAGAAAAAACTGCTGCTTGGAAGCTATTGTCTCTTTGTTGTTTGAGAAAATGCCCTCTTTTAAAATAAACGTAGCTACACTCATCCTAAGAACTTGGTCCTTATATATTCTGAACATCAGGGCAAAAATATGCTACCTGTTTAGAATCCATAGAGTCTCCTCTTACTTTTCTTGTGCTTTGCTCAAATTGACATATCTCTTGACTTTTCCCCTCTGTTATTTTTCTAGCACATCTCTGTTGATGTAAGTGCATCACAAACATTGGATGGATAGATATTACAAGCACTGTGACAAGTTCACCATACTGTCCTAATACACTTTTACAGGTAGAGGTGCCACACATACAACAGTGTTACGAACTTTATCACAAAGATTTATAGACAGTCAAAGCACATGTGTTGTCACTGGGACAGAGTACATCATACATTAAGAAACAACTACTACTACAGTTATAATTTACTGTACTATATTAATTGTCAAATACGCCATCACAGAATTGGTTCATAGCTAGGCTATCACATCTCCTGCCAACAAACCATATGTGACAAGGTGAGGTGACTGATGTGGCAGATGTTGGTACTATTAAAACAGTACAATGATAACCAAAAGAGTTACTACTTGTGAACCATATTTTAAAGTTCTCATTCTTTTAACTGGGCTTCTCTGGAACTTCTTGGTTAAGTGGACTATTGGTCCCCTGATAATTGACAGTGGGCAACTGCTATCTGGATTCATTTTTATTTTATTCTTTGCCTTGGGCAAGCCCTATGCTTTTATGATCATACTGTTAATTTAAGGTTTTGGAGCAACTAAGCCAAAAAAAAGGCCAATTTCTGCAAAACTTGAATTGCTCAAATTCATTCACCCCATCTCTACTTGTCTTTTGCTGCTTGCAGGATATCTATGTTTCTCAAACAAATACATGAAAGCTGAAGACACCCTAGTTGGTCCAAACTTTCCATAGAATAAATTATAACTGTTGCTGCTATTATTTTTGAAAGTAAATGGTGTCTAAGGAGTGGAAGCACCAAGGACTGTTCATTGTTGGCAAACATGCCCCCTTTGGTGCACAGAGCAAGAGAAGGAGTAAGATAACGAAAGAATGCTGGCAGTGTGTGATTTTGTTACCTTTGACTGTACTCCCTGCCCTCGCCAGAGGGTAAGAAAGCAAAGAGTAAAGCAGCACCCACATATCTCCTGTCACACAGTGGTAGCAACATGCTACAATCACTTGGATTTCTTGCAGTGTGTTCCACAAGGTTGTCAGGACCTTTATTATGGCCCTTTAAAATTCCACAACAGCTTACTAGCTTTGGGGGTCTCCAGAATTCTTCATCAAGATGCACAGGATCAAAAAAAGTGGTGGGGGCAACATTTTATTCCCTTTCACTTGCCTGAATTGCCTGTTTTGGCAGACTGACTACCACTTACTCACTCCCCTTCTCTCCAAGTTGCTATTTCTCAGTAATTAAATTCCCCAACGTAGGAGAGCCGAAGTCTCTTCCTACCAACATAGAATACACATGTAACCATTCCCAAAGTATCTATACATTGTGAATATCTCCTCATTTGGGCTAGATCAGAATAAAAGCATGTATTAGAATCTGTTTCCTCAAAATGACCTCATTTCAGTCAACATGAATGTATTTTCCATTTCTTCTCATGTTTTCATTAGTGTACCAACATGAGTTGGCACCACTGAACTAACACAGCCACTGTTTCCAAGGGGAGCATAGAATGTTTTACCCAATGCAATTCCACAGCATCTTACAGAAGGGAGTGGTACAGGAGCAGGCATGGAAAAATCTAAAGGGCATTTCACTTGCAATGGAACCAACTACCACAAAGGTGGAGCGCAAACCTGTATGCCTGGTTTATAGCAGTAGTCTTCCACAAGTGGATTGTAATTGACAAGGTACGTAACAAAACAGGCTTTCTGGCAAGTTGCTTCACTTATGATATGATGCTTCTCTAGCTACACTGGCATAAACCAGTCTGCACATGAGCTATGCAGTTGTTCAGGTCATTTAGCATTAAGGTGATCTCCTCTGACACTTAAGCAAAACTCACAACTTAAGGTTTAACACTAAGTACTTACTTGGGTCAGTCATTTCTAAGAGGGGAAATCTTTCTAGTTTGTTTCAATACAAGAACAGAGTTATGAGGCGCTTTTGAAAACTAACATATTTTTGGTCATAAACAGTTGTACACTCTAGCTATATCTTCAGATGCATTTGAAGAATTAAGCTATAGTCCACAAAAGCTTATGCCAAGTCGTATTTGTTACTCTGGAAGACTCTGTCATTGTGGTCGGTGTGCAAACTACCTGCAACTTTCTTCACTGCCATTAAAACAATATTGCTTAGTATTCCAGCTGCTGAATCTAGTTTGTTTTTTATTAGAATACTGAGATTGCCCAAGAAAATGCAAAAACATACATGTAAAATTAAAGAATACTGAGCCTAGGAATTTGCTTGGTAACAGAAATAAAATGTGTTCAGAGTCTTTCCACAATCAAAAAAAATCTATCCCTATTTAGCTAAACCATTCTCCATTTCAACTATATAATCTGAATAGAGAGGAGTAATTTGAGTATAAGCTGAGAAAAGGGGAATCATTTTGTTACTGCTGTTGTTAAAACTGGGAGTAAAAAATCCTTGTCAATATCCTGCCAATCACCCTGAACTACACCAGTAGGTAGGTCCCTATCCAGCAGTGAAACCAGGATGCTTTACAATGCAATTGTATGCTTCTTCATTTGTTTTCCTTTTTGTGCCACCTTACTCCTAATTAAGGCATCTCACAAATTATTAAAAAAACAAACCAACTAAAACCACAACAAATTATGACACTAAAACAATTGCATGCAATAGTATTAAAACTGTTAAAAACACCTTAAAACATGCATTAAAAGATTAATATCCAGCATGCAAGATCCAAAACTGCCCAATCAGTCATCAAAAGCCTGTCTGAAAAAAAATATGGCCTTCACTTGTCACTGAAAAGACAAAAAAGAGAAGGCAAATCTAGCTTCCCAAGGGAGTGCATTCCACACCTTGAGAGCAGCCCACAGAGAAGGCTTGCTGTTCCCCTCAGACATGCCTGTGAGGACAGTGGAACTGAAAGAAGTTGCCAATTATAGAGCCGTCGCAAAAAATTCTTGTCAATATCCTGCCAAACACCCTGAACTACACCAGTAGGTAGGTCCCTATCCAGCAGTGAAGCCAGGATGCTTTACAATGCAATTGTATGCTTGTTCATTTGTTTTCCTTTTTGTGCCACCTTACTCCTAATTAAGGCATCTCAAAAATTATTTTAAAAAAACCATCTAAAACCACAATAAATTATGACACTAAAACAATTGCATGCAATAGTATTAAAACTGTTAAAAACACCTTAAAACATGCATTAAAAGATTAATATCCAGCATGCAAGATCCAAAACTGCCCAATCAGTCATCAAAAGCCTGTCTGAAAAAAAATATGGCCTTCACTTGTCACTGAAAAGACAAAAAAGAGAAGGCAAATCTAGCTTCCCAAGGGAGTGCATTCCACACCCACAGAGAAGGCTTGCTGTTCTCCTCGGACATGCCTGTGAAGACAGTGGAACTGAAAGAAGTTGCCAATTATAGAAGTTGGAAAGACTTGTACAAGGAGATACTGTCCTTTGGATAGCGTGGACCCAAACCGTATGGGCTTTATAGGTCATAACCAGCACTTTGAGTTGGAACCGGAAACAGACTGGAAGCCAGTGGAGCCACTGTAACAGGGGAGTTATGTGCCCCGGCCAGTCCCTTTGGCTGCAATGTTTTGAACTGTGTCTCTGCTAACATTCTCTGGAGTCATATTCCTGAGTTTTCTTTGAAGCAAATAC